AAATCAATTTCCTTCAGATTTTAATTTCAGATAAAAGAGTTTAATTTCTTAAATCTCATTCCATTTTGCATAAGTAATCACCTCTACCTACCTGCTGAATGCTTTCGATTGTACTCTATATATTCATACACTATAGTATTCGAACATTTACGCTAGCTGCTTTTAACGACTGAAATATGAGAGTTAAACCGAAGTATTTAAAGTAACATGATATATATAGCAAAAGGAAAGTCTCAAGGTCATATCAGCAAAATTAGGAGATAATTCAACGATGTATACTGTATTTGTGATATTTACGTTATTACAGGTATGCGTCACTGATGGAAAGTAATCGAACAAAGTATATAATAATCATCATTGAAAGTATTTATTAAGGAATAAAACGTTTCAGTATTCTATCTATGTATCTTCTGCTACTACAGTAAAATAATTTTAGCTATTTCATCTTAAGACGATTTTGTACCGAACACACTAGCGCCGCCAGTGTTAGTTATTAGTAATAAATATACTACAAACATTGTGTACGCATTAGAAGCTTCTAATAATTACAAGTAATTAATTGCTCGAATTTCAAACAAATTCTCTATATTACTTAAAAAATTAAATCTAGAAATTTAAGAAAGAATATTTCAAATAATTTTAATTTACGTAGAATAATACTTAAAAATTTTGGCAACTAAAATTGACGTTAATTTAAAGTTCAATATACTTTCAATTATTAAAAACAAAATTGCAGAGGTACATTTTGGTACCATTTTCATAACTCAAATTAAAGTTGCTAAATGTTTAACATAATTAATTAAGACCAATTATCAAAAGTTGAAATAAATTTGGAAACATCGTTTCTGACAGTAAATTGAAAATTTCGGTAGTATTAATTCTTTGCACTCGAGAGGCACTCTTTAGTCGCCATTTGATAAAATTTCGAAGATCGATATTAATTAATATGTTAAATTTGAGATAATGTAACGATGTGCGAAATATCGAAATCAAATAATTCCATATATTAATTATTATACGATTTCTTATTTATTGTTAAAAAAAAATGTCGTCAATTTTATAGCAGAAAATCTTTGAACTCCTACTCTTCTTTAACCAAAAAATCGTTGAGTTCAAAAGGTTAAAATGTACGTACTTTTATTAACTGCTTGCACTACAAGACGATTATGGTATAAATCCTAAATAAAATAGACATTACGAAAAATATACCAATTCATTGCAATCAGAATAAATATACAAGGTCAATTTAAAATTAAATGACTTTTCAAGTTACGATTAAATCATGGTACAACGGGTTATAACCAGTCGCGAATACTTGTTTTCCATTTTTTCGAATATTTTCCAATAACTGTGCACGGGCTCTTATATTCTTAGAATTTCGAAAATTCTGTTATAAAGTGGACGATATTTTTTAAAATGGCAAAAAAGGAATCGTATGTAAATTAAAACGTAGAATTATTTTACTTCGATATATTATGTATTCTTACGTTATTTTAAATTCAATTAATTATGAGAATTAATGTCAATTTTCAGAATTTTATTAAGTGACAGGAGGTTGCCTGTCGAGTGCAAGGGATTAAAACAAAATTTCACCAGCGTCCGCTAAAAATTCTGAACGAGATCCGGCCATGGACATATCGGCCACTAGAGAAAAGCGCAATTAAGATTAGCTAGCGCGCTGGCCGGCTCGCCGGTGGTGGCAGCACCGGCGTCCGCGGCAGTGGCGGCAGAAGAAGAGGTAAAAGAAGAAGGCTAGAAAGTCGGCGCGGAGACCATACCGAATAAAGCGCTACGCCTTGACTTCTAACCGTGGTGTTCTTTTTTTCCCTTCTTCTTCTTCTTCTTCATCGACTACGCAGCGAGTCCAGTCACCGTACGGAGGTGCATCAAAGTCCGCGACTGGAATCGCCATATTCAGCCCGTTACACCTCGGAACCCGTCGCGTTATCGGTGGTAGTAAAATTCACCGGCACGCCTATGCGATCATGACAAAAGTTGCCAGCTCGAGCGCCGCTTCTGCACGTAGATATACGTACTTACTAACATGCCGGTGCGCGAACACACGTTTTTCGCGCACGTGGAATTAATGCACACGGTGCATCGTTAATTAACACACCGCCACTGCCCGTGACGAGTTTGCATGGATGCATGGAGCAGACTGTTATTCTTCCTGTGTTCCTGTTATTCCTCCACCGTTCTCGATCTTATTCTCTCGCCACCTGTATCATGTCGGTGGCTCGTCTCAGATACGTATCTTCTATGGCCAATGTTTAACATGGATAATCACTCGTGGCTCGTGCAATGTCCTTTATTGAGGATTAAGGAAGATGCTTTTTTGGAATTTGGAGATTATGAGAGAAACGTTGTTAGTTTATCTTTTCATTGCTTACTTTGATTATATTTTTAATTGATAATTTTTTTGATACTTGAACTGTCATTCTTTTTCTTAATATCTTTTCTTGGTTGAATTCCTTTTAATGTTTCGTATTGTTCTTTCTATTTTTATTTTTAATAGGGAGGTTGTAAGGATGAGAAATTTAAGTACGTTTAATTATGCGAGTATTTGGATATCAATTTTTGAGATAATATAGTGGTACGTATACTTGAAAAAATATGGAAGATATATGTGAAGAAGCTTAAGGTGTGCAAAATAGATAATACGTGTATGGTTGAAACCTTTGACTATAAAATACGCTTTTGTGATGATATAGGTTCCTATAAACGTATGACAATTGATACATTTGAAATATTCCGGAAAATGGTAAAAGCACATAACCAATTGCAAAATTTAATGAAAAAATAATTGTGGTAATATAAAATGATAAAATAATTGAATTTTAAATCTACTTTTCCTTGAAGAAAGGAAAAGGATATGAGATACTACATTTTTCTAGTGTGATCTTTATTTTATTTTACATTTTGTATAAGGTGTAAGGTGTAACATTTTTAACAATTAGCCAATGATAAATACGTATAATTATTACCAGATTTTCTAGCATTCGATATAGAGCGAGGAAAAATATATAACAGTACCATCTGTGTACTGTTGTGAATGTATAAACTATAGGCACAGAATAATATTCGTTCCGGTCCTTTCATATTTTTTTCATTTACATTTCCTTATTAATTAGAATATATGCATGTAGGTAGAGAAATAGGAAACTATATACTGCATACAAAATTCACCTCCTGGATTAAAAATACTTTCAAGAATTTTCACGTTTATATTAAATAATCGAAGAAGAGAAAAATTGAAATATAATATTTAATAAAAATATAACAAAGTTTACAATAAGAATATTTTTATACTAGAAACATTTTGAAGCATTCCCACGTTTAGATAAAATAATCGAAAAAGAGAGAAATTGAAATAAAAGATTTAATAAAAATATAACAAAGTTTACAATAGCAATACCTTTGTACTAGAAATATTTGAAAGCATTTCCACGTTTAGATAAAGTAATTGAAGAAGAGAAAATTTGAAATAAAATGTTTCGCAAAATTATTGCAAAGTTTACAATAGGAATATTTTTATCATAAAAATATTTTCAAAAAATTTCAAGTTTCAGTAAAACAACCGAAGAAGAGAAAAATATCTTAATTCAAAAATGGCGATAGAAACCATACTGTTTTATTCATATAAGAAATGTTTCGGTCAGAAACATAATAAAGCTGGTATACCAGTTGCATATGCATGTGTTCGATACGCTTCGATGTGCTCTGTAAGCACAAGTAGACCGAAAAGATTAGAACTTTAAATAACCTACCACAATATTACGCGTTTCTTTTGTTTATAAGAAATACTCAATTCTTGGAATCAGAGGTATATCAGATAAATTTGAACTGCATAGTTCTACGTAAGTTAAAATAAAAATTAAGTTCCTTGTAAAATTTATTTATTCTATTCTGCGATACTTCAGATATTTTGTATTAAAATCAATATTAATATAACACTAACAGCGTGTATTATAATACTCAGTAACAACAAATTCACTCTTACATTGCATTTATTATTCATTTTCTAAATTTAATTAAAAATCTAGTAAATATGAAGTATATATTAATCATACTTATGTTCCAATAAAATACTATAAACTATAAATATACAATTTAAATATTCCAGAGGGTGAAACAATTTCTCAGATTAGAGATTGATCATTAGAGATGATCGACACATGATTGATAAAATATATAAACAACTATGGTATTAAATTTTCAAGGAATAACAAAAATTTCTCCTTTTTCACATTTTCATATCACTATGTTGATCTCACATAAATACAAGTATCTGTATTTATTGAACATAATAAATAAATAAATATATATAATATATTACACCTCTATTCAACGATTACAATTTGTAATAAACAAATCAACAATAAAATATTGCATCCTAACTCCCAAAACTGCAATAAATATCCTCGAATTCTTTATGTATATAAAGATAAATATTATAAAGATAAAGATAAATATTCTTTAAATAAATAAACAACTATGATATTAAATTTTCGAGAAATAACAAAAATTTCTCCTTTTTCACATTTTCATATCACTATGTTGATCTCACATAAATACAAGTATCTGTATTTATTGAACATAATAAATAAATAAATATATATAATATATTACACCTCTATTCAACGATTATAATTTGTAATAAACAAATTAACAACAAAATATTGCATCCCAACTCCCAAAACTTCAATAAATACCCTAAAATTCTTTCGCAACCCCTATACCACCCCTAATATTAAATAATGAAAATAATAAAAATATCACAAATTATTCCTCAAACCTGAGAAAGCATCGTAAGACCCTTTCACAGCCATAATGGTCCCATAAATCAATCAATATCACACGTACCAACGGTACCTAATAGCTGTAAAATATTTAATCCGCTTTTATATTTCACAAGCACCTAAGGATTAACGTCTCAGCAAGGTGTAACACGTAATATTGCTAGAGGACGCGATGGAGGAATATTTCTGAGGCAAACTCACCGGAAATTTGCTGCTATGGGTCTGCAGGTTAGCTGCCTGTTGAGTCTGACTCGAGCTCTGTTCTTCCCCGTACAACGGTGGCATCCTGTATTCCGGTGCAATGTTCTGCCCGGAACTTCGAAGCTGGTTGTCGTCTAACGTGGCGTTCCTCTCTATGCCGGAAGTCGTCCGCGACGATTGCTCGGCTACCGTCTGCACCCTGCTCTCCTGTTGGCCGTTCTGGTTCTTCTGATTGTTCGGCACCGGTTTCGGTGGTGGCACAGGCTTGTAAAGTCCCTCCTCATCTGGAATACATATTTCGTTCCCAATTATTCTCGGTGACCAGTGAGTGAATAATCGATGAACCCGCGAGTAAGTTGAAAAAAGCTACGTTTCCGGTTATTTCGTACGAGTGAAATGGAATAACAAGAGTCGCTCCATTTGTTTTTCCTTCAGTCGGATTTGTTTTATTTACTCGGTAACGATGTAGGTGACATTCTTTGGTATAACGAGCTGCTGTTTTACAGGTTTAATGCGCGTTGTTTTGGGATCTGTGATTCGTTGTAATCGATGGCGTTTAATGGTTAGAGTTCGGTGGTTCGTTTATTTAATAATTACTGAATTCTTAATTTTCGTCTCAAATTTTTAATTTTTAAGCTTAATATTAAATTCCTATTGTGATACTTATAGGTATTTATTAGGAATTTAATTTTAATATTAAATTCCTAATTTTGATATCAAATAACTTGTGAGGATAATTTTGAAAATCTAATTTTTCATTGGTAATTTTTTTATTTTAGTTCTGAATTTTTATTTTTAATTTACAATTTTTAATTTTTTAATTTTTAAGCTTAATATTAAATTTCTATTGTGATACCTATAGGGATTTATTAGGAATTTAGTTTTAATATTAAATTCCTAATTTTGATATCAAATAACTTTTGAGGATAATTTTGAAGATTTAATTTTTCATTGGCAATTTTTTAATTTTAGTTCTAAACTTCAATTTCTTATTTACAATTTTTTATTTTTTACTTTCTATTTCTAGTGTGTATTAGCAATTCTCGTTTCTCAATTTCTAATTTTTTTATTGTAAATTCTCTGCTTCCAGGCTTCAGTTTCTAATTTTTATTTTTGAATTTCCTATTTTTGGTTTCAATTTCTAATTTTTAATCCTAATTCAGCGTGATAATATCAAGTTAATTCATATATATTATCGCCTCTTTGAAATTTCTACAGCAAAATAAAAGTAGAATTTTACAACGTACAATTAGGAAAATTATGTGTAGGAATAATGTAGAAATAATTAAGCAATAAATCGGAAAGAAAATCCGTTTCACTGTGACAATGCTTAATCACATAAAGCAAAGATGATATTGAATAAGATAAAAGAAACAGATATAACAATTAATTATTATCCATTAATTCTATTTCTTGTCTCTAGTATAATAGAATTTTATTTCATTCGGTTACTTATAAATACTATATAAAATAAAGAATTTTATACAGTAAATAAATAACAAATTCTTTACTTTATATAGTATTTGAAAAATTTTTAATTTTAGCACAATAGAATTTTATTAATAGAATTTTATTTCGTCCAATTACTTCCAAATACTATATAAAATTAAATAAAGTAATGAGTAAATAAATAATAAATATTATATGGTAAATTAGTAAGAATTTTATATAGTATATAAGTAATAAAATCTTTATTTTATATAGTATTTGTAAATAATTGGACGAAATAAAATTCTATTAATAAAATTCTATTGTACTAGAATTTTTAATTTTTCAAATACTATATAAAATAAAGAATTCATTACTTATTTAATGTATAAAATTCTTTATTTTATATAGTATTTATAGGTAACCGAATGAAATAAAATTCTATATGAATTTTATATAGTAAATAAGTAATAAATTCTTTATTTTGTATAGTATTTGGAAGCAATTGGACGAAATAAAGTTCTAAAAATTCTATATTCTATTGTACTAGAATTTTAAATTTATCGTGAAAGAAGTTCACAACAAAGAACATAAAAAGGCACAAAATAAATATTTTAAGTCAACAATTTTTCCAGTCAAGTAAGACTGCTGAAATAAAATATTTTTCAAAAAATGAAAATTACGAATAATTAATTATTCGTTAATAGGTATTATGAATTTTGTATATTTCACATTACTCACGAAATAACCAAATGTATTTGATATCTGAAAATGTATTAACATTTATCACCATAAATATCCATGAATATTAATTTGGAAATAATGAAAGCTCTAAGCTCATTGAAGGTAACAACGAATTTACTGAAAATTCTGGTCCTTACATTTCAAACTTAACGAATGATAAAAATCTTACAGTATCTTACAGTATACAAAGTAACTGTATCATTTATTAATGACGGTAACAAAAATTGGAAGTAAAGAAATATTTGAAATTCGGAGAAAAACTCAACTAGCTTGATTAAACTTTCTGCTTAGAAAATTCTCGCAGGTGCGAGGAACGAGTAGCATTAGTTCTTAGTAAAAGAGCAATCGCCATGCGAATTCATCGTAGACGATTAATCATAATTAAGTCGATGTTCAGCTGCGCGTAAAGTTCCATTTAGTTCGAGCAAAGTTCGACGTATCCACCATAGAAAATTAGTCTATGCTAGGTGTCTTCACCCCTAGAAAACTAATTGGAATTGCCGCAACCGAATTAATCTACATCTGCTAATTCAAATTTCATTGCGTTTCCTGTGCACTTTGCTATGCCAGAAGTAATAACATTGGAAGAATATTTAAGTAATTCGGTACTAGAATATTCTATAACATCAGTGGGGAAATGTTTAACTTCATTTTCAGCTGTGAATATAATAAAACCGGATACTTTGGTTATTTCATAAACTTCGGTTCCTGTGAAATAAAACGTGGCTAAAAATGAAATTGCTGGTAAGCAAATTTTAATTAATATTAGGAAATTGATATAGAGAAATATATTTTATACGAAAATGGAAATTGTATTTTGTTTCGTGATTGAATCCATTTGTCTAAAAAATTTGGTTTGAAATTATTTTAGAACAATGATACTGAAATTTCATTATTGATATTCTCTAACAAATATTAATTATTGAAATTTAATAATTCTTACGAAGGAAATAGTAGTATTTTATTTTACATGTAACTCTTGTATTATGTTTCAAGTATAGTTTATTACTATTATTGAAATTTAATAGTTAAGATTAATTATTAAATTATGAAATTTAACAAGTAGTGTCTCATTTTTAAATGATACGCGTGAAACTTTTAAATTTAATTTTCGTTTATTAAAATTTAGTAATTAAAGGTAATTTAGATTATTTTGGAAACTATAATGATTATTTCACAGATAATTTTCATTACCTTTATGGTGAATTTATATTATTTTGGATAATTATATTATTGTGTTTATTTTAGAGACAATTTATATTATTCTGAAAATGATTTTAATTATTCTTGAAGAAAATTTGTACTATTTTGAAAAAAATTTGAATTATTTTAAAGACAATTTAGATTGTTTTAGGAATAATTGAAAAATTGTCTTGCATAAGTTACCTTTATCACAGATATTTAAAAAAGAATCACCATGAGGTAACCAAAAGAATTCTCAGTAATGCAAAATAATTGATTCATTAGAAATTTATTTAATATATACGTAACAAAAACATGGCTTTGATGAAAATTTGGTTCATTTTAAAGGTAATTTAAATTATTTTGGAAATTATAATGATTATTTTAGAGATAATTTTGATTACTTTTAAGGTGAATTTATATTATTTTGGAAACTGCTTGGAGGCTACCCACCCGATCTCTCGATTTCTTATAGATCTTAGCGATCATTCTGACACTCCTCCGTCCCCACACTTTTTTAAACTTAATTTTCTAATATTATTAAAATTTAGTAATTAAAGCCTATTATAAAAATTTAAAAGCATTTGCAAAGGAAAAGGGAATCATTTATCACGAAACACTTGTGTTATGTTTCAGGTATGATGTTTGGAATACATTTCCCTAATTGTTAGCTACTAGAATGCTTGAAGAGAAACGTTAATGAATCGTTTAATAAAATCTTCAACAGTATCCAGTTTAATTTCATACACTTCGTTAATTACAGCATAAGCATTTAAGACGAAATATAACGTATTATACTTGATATACTATCTTCTTGATCGCGTCTTAATGCAACTCGTAAAAAGATTCATTTTACCCTTATAGCGTTCATAAAAAGATAACAATGTGTAAAGGGGATTTTTAGACCACTGTTTTAGTACTTCCGCATCCGCAACGCATTATGATTGTGAGAGATTAACCCTTCTCACCCTTTTCCCTTGAAAAAGGTATCGAATGAAACATTACACGTTTAACTTCATAACTATATTACATGTAACAGGTTATTCATTCCCTTTATAATACTTGGATTTAACAGAAATTTTGTGTGACTATAAATATGTAAATAAATACATAAATATATAACCGTATAAAATATTTGCATAAACATGTAAATGTAAATAACATAAATGACTGTTATGTACTAATTACAAGGCACTATATATAATACACAGCTATTGTTGTATGTAATTACTATTTATAGATTTTTGATAATATTAAACATTATTATACATGATGTTGTATGTAATAATATTGTATAAAATATTGCAAATATGTATAGCATTATGAAATTTTATATGATATTGCATTATAGCATATGTGTGTAATATAATATACAGTTTATAATTATCTACAATGTTAATATATATACTTTTGTGCTACTATGCTAGTATTGTACTATACTGCTACAATACTTCTGCTGTTATATTAGTATTCATTCCAAATTTTATTTAAAATTATTTATCATGAATGCTCTTTAATTACATATACCAATTTATAGAATAGTCAATGATTAGTATATAATAAATACACAAAGATTAATTATTCAGTGCATATAAATTTTATGACCACTTTTTCAAAGTCAAACAATAGTAATTTATGTTCTAAAAATAGTGTTCATATTCAAATTTATACGTAATATTCTAATTATGAATAATGTTACCGATTATTTAAAATAATTATCATAATTCATTTCCTTCCATTTGTTCGAATAGTATACCTTTCATTGTTCCAATACACTAGCGTAATCATGAATAATTGATTCAAAATTAATTCATTATTTTCTCATCAATCACGTTATCTAAAAGTACATTGAAACTCTTTCATCGTGTGTCTCATCTCATTGTTATCTATTCTATGAGGTTAACGAATTAACTTTATAAAACAAAATATATAAAATGTTTAAACAAAAGTTAAAATATTATGAAATACTTGACTGTTTAAATAAATAATTATATAACTTTCAATTCAAATTTTTGAAATTATGTCTTGATTAGTAACGTAACAACTGTAGTTCAATATAATACAGTTTAACACAACATAGTATGATAAACTAAATTTAAGTATATAACCTACACTTTCCATTATTTCTCAGTCAAAAGTTAACAACCAAGAAATTCTTACAACAAAATCCAACGCCAAAATTTTTACAAAATTTCCTAATTACTAAACTCGACATTCTCATAAAAATTCATTCAAGGATACCCAAAAATTATATCGACTTCCATCAATCTATTCACCCAATTAAGCCCTCTAAGAGACAACAATGAGTCAATAAAATGTAAATAAAATACCCAGCTCAAATCTCACTGTCAATTTAAATTTCCAAAAAAATTCTTCCTCATCCTCTCATCCTCTATCATTTGCATATACAACTTCCTAATTCCTCGCGTGACGGTTGTAAAACGCCCTTTTACTCAGAAGTTAAATCGAGTTTAATGTCCAAGCTACGCGAGCATCCTAATCTGCCATGCAACGTGAAGCTATATATCAAATGAACTGTGAATCGTGAGCGAAAAAGCAGCTCGCGTAGGATGACATTTTAGCATCCCTATTAGGACCTCTGGACACGGTCGACACCTGGATATTTCCATACCTTGGTTCTGATTTTGTCGCCTCAGACGATTCTCCTGCTTGACTTTGCGAACCGTGGTGGCCATCGCGTGTTGGCTGACCATTTCTGAAGAATGGTGTCGCGAATGCACCGAAACCCTCTCTTTCACCTTTTACAAACACCTCACTGGTACGTTCAGCCAGGCGAACAACCTGTTATCACCTGCCCGCAGTGCTCGTTGAGCAGACGTTTTTCACTGATGTTCCTGGCGTCTTAATCGCGAAACACTCGCGACACCGAAGTGAAAGTACCTTCTATCTTGTTTCGTTGAAAATGCTGAAAATCAACCGCCAATCGTGGAGCTAGCCGGTGAAACGAGACTTCATCCTGCAGCTCTTTAATTCCTTCCTCCTAATTGAAGCCCCATTTACTCGTCGTTCGAGATAAACTAGCCGGTCTGCTCGGCAATCCTGACAGGGAACACGTTGCAGGCCACGAAAGTTTCTATGAGAACCGCACTCGGACGAATCGAACATCCCAAAGTGAAAACTCCCGAGACCATATACAGAGAGACAAGCAACTTCATTGTCATCTGCTTTTTCACCGTTGAGGAACAACTTCGCACAGCTTAGACTCATAACTCGAACCAAGCCTCGCCCCTATTCCACTGTACTTCGTCACAAGTCCTGTTACTCCTGATCGAGGAAAGAAGACACGTCTTATCTCGGGTCCGAGAAACAATTACACACCGATCGGACCAACTCGTTCAGTTACAGTTGCCTGATCTTCTTAAATCCTGCTAGCAAATCGTCCTAACAGGAACAAGAAGGTTGCCTTCATATCCATCTGCTTGATATCCATTTTCCATCGTTATCTCTCATCAGTCCCTTACTTTGATCTTCTACGAATCAAAATATCAGCTCAGAGGCTTCCTGGATGCACAGTCTATCACCGAGTTAGCCCAAGAGGCTCTTCTTTCCTCCATCGCGTGTTCGCACGAGTCCTCGCTGGTCCACGTCGAGGCTAGGTCCAGGGGGACCAAGTTAGGGGGAGTTTGAGCACAGAAGGGCACCAAACCTCGTAGACTAGGTTGGACCAGGTCTGGCACACTCCGAGGGTATTTTTTCGAGGCTCGCGTGCAGCGTGGATACGCGAGCAAAGAAGCGGCCGCGATGTCGAACGAGCGTAGTTTCTCCGGTTCTTCGGGTTTCTTCCGTGCACGCGCGAGTCGCGAGCGGGAATGCCGCGTGCCCCGGCGAAAGAAACGGATTTTCCACGCGAGCGGAACTCCGATCCGCGTCTCGGCCCTTCTTAGACGCACTGAAAGAACTCAAACTTTCCATTGAGTGAACGTCTGGTTCCGCCGTTCTGACTTCACTTCCGGTATCGTCCCACCACCATACGAATGAGAAATCATTATAGACCTCGGTGGGAGAAGGATCGCTGGAGAAAGAGGGACGTTGGTCGTCGGTGGAAGAGGTACCAGCCGGGCGACGGAGGAAGATAGAACAGCGGGGAAGGAGAGACAGAGAGACGGGATTCGTAAGAAGCGATGAAGAGGGACAAGCGACGGCATAATTTATTCCGCGTCCATACGCAGACGGGCTCCGTGGCGCGCGTCGGACGAATATCAAGCTGCTCGCTGGTACTGCCACTGGCTGCCCGATCTCTCGATCTCCGATAGTTCTTGGCGATCGTCGCGACACTCCTCCGTCCCTACACTTTCGTTTATTAGATTTCTGGTACGCTCTTTGTACTTGCGTCGCAACAGGCCTCAGGGTACCCCTGGCCAGCGTTCTCTCGTTCTTGTTTATGTTTCACTGTCTACGTTTGGGCAACTGTGGTTTCGCGAATTACTTAAAGCGATCTCTTCTGACGTTTGTTAAAACCTTATCCGATCGATATAGTTCGTATTTAACGAAATAATTCAGGCTCATCCTTGAACAACGCGAATTCGCTTCCCACGATCGAAATTACTTTGAAAAATTTAATCGAGGTAAACACAGTTCCGTGAGAAAATTATATTTTAATCTGGTGTTTTCTTATGTGAAACGTGGGACCTATAAAGGGTTTATTTTGATTATTGAGAAAGTAATTTGGGCCAATTTTAGGGAAATTTTGATTATTTTTGGAAAAGAATTTTTATTATTTTGATGGAAATTTGATTCATTTTAAAGGTAATTTAGATTACTTTGGAAATTATAATGATTATTTCAGAGATAATTTTTATTACTTTCAAGATGAATTTATATTATGTTGGAGATAATTTTGTTTATTTTAGAGACAATTTTGATTATTTTGGAAATGATTTTAATTATTCTAGAAGAAAATTTGTACTATTTTAGAAAAAGTTTGAATTACTTGAAGAACGTTTAGATTGTTTTAAAAATAATTGAGAAATTATCTTGCATAAGTTACTTTCATCACAGATATTTTAAAAAGTATCACCATGGGGTACCCAAAAGAATTTTCATCAATGCAAAACAATTCATTTATTAGAAATTTATTCAGTGTAAACGTAATAAAAATATAGCTTTGATGGAAATTTGGTTCAGTTTAAAGGTAATTTAGATTACTTTGAAAATTATAATGATCATTTTAGAGATAATTTTCATTACTTTCAAGATGGATTTATATTACTTTGGAGATAATTTTGTTTATTTTAGAGACAATTTGGTTATTTTGGAAATGGTTTTAATTACTCTTGAAGAAAATTTGTACCATTTTGGAAAAAATTTGAATTATTTTGAAGTTTATCATATATATTTTTAAAAAATCAGCATGAGGTACCCAAAAGAATTTTCAGCAATGCAAAATAATTGATTCATTAGAAATTTATTTAATGTAAACGTAACAAAAATATGGTTTTGATAAAAATTCATTTCATTTTAAAGGTAATTTAGATTATATTGGAAATTATAGTGATTATTTCATAGATAATTTTCATTACTTTTAAGGTGAATTTATATTATTTTGGAGACTACTTGGAGGCAACCCACCCGATCTCTTAATCTCTTATAGATCTTAGCGATCATCGTGACACTCCTCCATCCCTGAACTTTCGTTTATTAGATTTCTGACGACGTTCTTTATACTTGCGTTGCAACAGGCCTCCAGGTACCCTGGCCACCATTGTATCGTTCTTGTTTATATTTCACGGTCTACATTTGGGCAACTGTGTGTACACAGAGTTGGTAGGATGTGTGGGAGTCTTACAACGCGGCCCAGCGAATTTCCCGTGTTACGAAAAGCTCCTTTGGTTTAATTCTTGGGTAATTGGATCGGGTCTTGAGCGGACTTATTTGGATAGAGAGGTGGGAATTAGTAACGGCGAGGTCGTTTTAATTGGATTGATCTTGGTGCATGATCGGAGAAAAACGTTGCCAGACCATTTTTAGCTGGGATATAACGGTGGATCGAGGCACGAGGTGTTTGTGAGTAAATAGACTTATTCTTGAATTGGTGGGCATTGGTGTAACTAACCTGTTTTTCTTTTTTTTGGTTTTCGGGGGGGAGTGAGTGGTTGGGTAGTTCGTGATACACTGTGGCGAAATTCCTCGCGGGAATTTGCGTGTTTCGCGAGGCGACAACTTTGGAACAGGATGTTTGAAATGCTTTTAGTTCTTGTTGCCCGCTTTAAGGATTAACAGTGGTTCCTTTTACGTTATTTTGATAAAAGATAATGTTGAAAACTTGTTTTCCAGTTTCTATTACATTATCTTTATTGTTATTGTGTCATCAAAATCAATTTTGTTAGGCTCTTGTGGTTCAAATTATAGAAATTAATGGAAATTTGTATATAAAGATATTATTCTTTTCTTAAGGAAAATAAAATTTGTAAATTTTTAAAATGAAATTTGAATTCTGTAATTTTGGCTAAAATTCGTATATGAGTTATTGATACAATTATTTATATATTTATCTTATTTATCTTATCCAAAATATACTTCATTGTTTTTCGTTATACTGCACGAGCCTGAATTTTTCCAAAGTTAATGTGATTGGAACGAACTTTCCCTAATTTTGAAACAGAATTGAAGGGAAGAACGAGAATAGGGAAGAAATATAAAAATATAAAGATATAAAGATATAATATAAAAATAAAATATAATATAAAGATATAAAAATATAGGTATAAAAGTTTTAAAATGAAAATATAATAATAGACAGAGTTGTCAACTACTATATTTGTGTCTAGGTATTTCGTGAACGTGTCGAAATGACCATTGAAATCCTTCATAGAATAGGAAAAATGCTTTACACAAAATTGAACTCATAAATAATAGTTAAGGAGCAATTAAAAATTTGCATAAAAATTGGATAAACTCTAACCAATAGAGAATAAAATTTTTATACAGACGCAACTCAAAGATATTAAACCAATTGCAAGAAGTTTGAAGTGGTAGTAATAGTAATAGTAGTAGTAGTAGTAGAAGCAGTAGTAGTAGTAGTAAATGTTATTTCCATATTTTTCAATCCTACAAAGAGAGGTTACTTAATGTAATATATAATAATATATAAAATATGATATATGATCTATAATAATACATGATATATGATATGTATTATATATATAATAATATTATATATTCAATATAATATATATGGTGTTACTATATAGTGTTTCCCTCAAAATTTTTTTTCATTTTTCCCTCGTCATCCACTTGCTTCTCCGAAATTTAAAAATTCTCCCAAATTGAAAATTTTAGTTTAAAAATTTCTTTCATCCATTTTCAGCATATCTCCAAATATACGAATTGAAATTTGCAATGCTCATTACGTGTGTACATTTATTAATTACAAAATACTTAAATTTTCAATTCCTTGAATCAAATTCGATTTAATATACGAAACATTTGGATATGAAAAATTTTAAACAATTTAAAATTCGTTTTCTTCTACTAGTGATAATTTTATATTTCAAAACGATAGAACAGATCAATTTCTCTTCAGATATTAAATAGCGTTGAATTAAATACTATTTGTGTATTAAATAATTTTCGATTTAAATGATCCTTTTTCAATATCATAAGTTCGTTGAAGTGCAAAAGCCTTCATTTCTCAACATCTTTGGCCATTTTACCATTTTGTAACTTTTAAAGCATCTCTCATTTAGTTTCAGTA